ACTACCCAGAGTTCATGGCCACAGGTGAGGGTAGTAGACTGTCTGGTAAACAGAGAGCTTTGCTTTACAGCTCAGCACCTCTTCACTACAATGGACCAGCACAGAATCCATAATAATGAAGATGCTGCACCAATCAGTCTTTGAATCTGCTTTCTAAGAATATAATTCAAATGTGTCCAGTGATTCATGAGATACATTAATGGACACAGTTGACTGTGTTAATAGCAGCATTGTACAAACAAATATTATGTGATCAGTTAAGAAGATTTGCTGAGAATGATTTTCACCTACCACTGAAAATTTTAGCACAATCTCTGTAAAACTGCCAGTTACTGCCATATTCATGTTTTATAAATATGCTTTGCTGCGGCAGACGTCTTGAACATGGTTGACTACAAAAATAAGTTATTCATAATTTTTGAAGGTTTCTTTAAAATCCCTCTGGGATTAGTGATATTTTACTAAGGCTACAGACACTTGAACGTGCTAACACAAGCCAACGGATGACTGCACGTTCATCTGTTGTAACAACAAAGAGTTGCTTTTTTGAAGTCTGGTGCGTACTGACAGACAGAGGATTTGATCACACAAACCATCATCACCATGTTGTACTTTGTACAAAGGTTATTAAAACAACCTGTTTATTTGTTTTGTTGGGAAACATAAATGCATCTGGTTTCTATGGATCAGCTGGCGAGTGGCTTCGGATGTTATCAGTCCACTAAATGACCGTTATTAGTTGTTATCATCCTCATATGTAGTGGTGAGACTGCCCCACCTACCTCCTAGTAGGTTTAAAGGTATATTATTATCGTTATTATAGCTGATAATAGGCAGTGTCACACGGGGGTAAACCAGGAAGTGTCTTTTTAGTTGTTTTCAGTTTATGTAACCCTTTTCCTAGACGTAAGCTTACACCTGACCCTGAGGACCAACCCTAAACTTAACCCCCTTACTCTTGTGCCTAAACCTAACCAAGACCGTAAACCTAACCACCAGACCCTTTACTGTAAACCAAACCATGTGAAGCTATTATGAGCGCTAAAAAGGTTAAAAATAGAGCCTATTATCATCGCTAACTATGTTAACAAAGTACCTTTAAACCCACTGGAAGGTACAGGAGGGGCAGTCTGACTGCTACATATGGAGATGATAACAACTAATAACGGCCATTTAATGGCTGATAACATCTGAAGCGGGTGGAGCGAGCAGCTATTGAGTGCCCGGGAGCAATTAGAGATTGGGTGTCTTGCTCAGAGACACCACGGCGTGGGCATGGCTGGGAGTCGAACCACGTTCAGTTTCAGTTGTTGAGATGACGAGATGATGCCTGAGTGCCGCCACACCACTGTCCTGTGGAGAAATACTTGTTTCCTGCGTGAACAAGTCGAAACAAACTTATGTTTGTTGTTGTTGTTCAGTCATGTCCTCTGACAAAACATTAAAATGCTGATTTTTTGTCAAGAAAACCTGCTGCATTAAATAAACTTATTTATAAATTATTATTAACTTATTTTTGAAAGTCTGCGTCGTGGGAGTCACTGATGCCCATATCCAGCAGTCATGGGGAGTGGTGGCGCAGAGGTTAGAGAAGGTGGGCCTGTGATCAGAAGATCGCCGGTTCAACTACCAAGACCGACAACATCAAAATGTGGGTGGGAAAGTGATACACCTGCCTCCACCCTCATTTGCTCCACTCTGGGCCCTTGAGCAAGGTCCTTAACCTCCACCATCTGATCCCCCGGGCACCCTAGATAGCAGTTCTCTGCTCTACACAGAGGGCTGTGGTAGCATGGTGGTCTGTGGTTGTATCAGGAACGACATCAAGCGTAAAAACAATCGCCAAGTCTTCTGAACTTTAGTTCACTGCGGTGACCCCTGAAGAAGGGAGCATCCGAAAGAAGACAAATTTATACATATATATATATATATATATATATATATATATATATATATATATATA